ACTCATACCTGAAACATATAGTTCCAATGAAGAAATTGACGTCAGCTGAAGAGGCAGATTTTGCTAATGCCACCGCATGTAATATTTGCGATAAAACTTTCGAATACGGCGATATAAAAGTAAGAGATCACTGCCATTTGACCGGAAAAAGAAGGTTTGGAGCTGCACATTCTGCATGTAATCTGAATTACAAGGTTCCCAATTTCATTCCGATATTTTTCCACAACATGAGTGGCTACGATAGCCACCTCTTCATCAAGGAACTTTTCGATCGCGAAGAAAAAGTGGATTGTGTAGCTCAAACCAAGGAGAAGTATATCTCATTCACTAAACATATTTTAGTGGGTGAATATTCGGGCAAAGATGGTCAGACTCATAATATTTTTCTGAAACTGCGATTCTTAGATAGTTACAAATTTCTTTCGCAACCCCTACAAACACTGGCACAAAACTTAAATACAGAACAGCTCGTAGAAACTGCACGAAATTTTCAAGATTCTAGACAATTCGATGTCATGACACAGAAAGGCGTTTTCCCATATAGTTTCATTACTTCGATGGCTAAATTGAATTTTAATGAATTGCCAACCAAAGATGATTTCTACGACAATCTTTCGAATCAACATATATCTGATGAGGATTATCGAAGAGCTGAGACAGTATGGGCTTTATTCAAATGTAAATCGCTTGGGGAATACTCAGACGTCTACTTGAAATCGGATGTTCTATTACTATGCGATGTTTTCGAGAATTTCCGAAAGGTTTGCTTACAAACATATAAACTCGACCCATGCCAGTATTATACAGCACCCGGTTTATCGTGGGATGCTATGTTAAGGTATACGAAAATCGAATTGGAGTTGTTGACCGACATAGACATGATACATTTTTTCAAAAAAGGTATCAGAGGGGGAATAAGCCAATGCAGCTTAAGATCTCATGTGGCAAACAATAAATTCACACCAAATTTCGATCCTAATGAGCCCACATCATACATTATGTATTTAGACGCAACCAATTTATATGGCCATAGCATGTCTCAACCGCTACCAACCTCTCATTTTAAGTGGCTGTCTACTCAGGAAATTGCAGATTTATATCTCATGAGTATCGCAGATGATAATTCATGCGGGTATGTCCTTGAAGTCGACGTATACTACCCCGAAGAATTACATGACGCTCACTCAGATTTGTCATTTCTTGTGGAATCAATGATACCTCCTAATTCATCATCCAAATTACCAAAACTAATTCCAAATTTATTCCATAAAACAAAATATATTGTTCACTATAGAAACCTGAAACAAGCAATGGATAATGGTTTGGTGTTGGTTAAAATACATAGAGTATTAAAATTCAATCAATCGCCGTGGCTGAAAAGGTATGTAGACCTCAATACAGAGATCAAATCAAATCAAATCAAAATATACTTTATTATCGGAAGATTTTCATCTCATTGATAAAGTCATGATGAATATAAAATAAATAATTAAATAAGTTTATATAAATAAATAGTATAGAGCAGGTACTATAGCATTGTCACAATTATAATAAATACATATTTACGTAAACACAAGAAAAAAATAAAAGAGAACAGACAGATACAAAATGAATTGAGCATTAGAATACAATTCCAAAATGTTAAAATAGACATACATTTTAACTATTCCAATCTTTCTCAAGAAACTCTTGAACATTATAAAAAACCTCATCGATAAGTAAGCGCTTGACAGATCTCCTGAAATGAGACGGCATAACTATGTTTTTGAAGGCGGGAGGGAGGTGATTATATAGTTTAATCGCACTATAGATCAGAGAGTTTTTCGTTAAATTTGAAGACGGAATAGGTAATCGCAAATTGTTACTTTGTCTAGTGATACCAACTGTTACCTCGTATGATGATTTGTTTTTATGTACTAGACACACTGTTTCGAGAATAAATAACGACGGAAGAGTGAGGATTTTCATTTGACCGAACAGCGGTTTACAAGATACTCTTGGCCCAACTTTGCAAAGGTATCGGACAGCACGCTTTTGAAGAACAAATACACTATTGAAGTTTTGTTGGTTGCAGATACCCCAGAAAGGTATTCCATACCTGATATGTGATTCTATCAGAGCGTGGTATACTACCTTCGCAGTGGCTATACCCAGTTCTTTCGCCACCATTCGCAAAGCATAACACCCACGTGCTAGTTTTGTATTCAAAGACTTCACATGGTTCTTAAAATTTAAATTGTTGTCCAGATGGATTCCAAGGAATTTGCTCGTATGCGTTTGCTCAATGATTACTTCAGTACTCAAAGGAATATCTGGTAGATTACATTTGAATGATAAGAGATGGGTTTTATTTATATTCAAAGAGAGCAAGTTTGAGCTAAACCACCTTTCTACAGGGGGGATATCATTAACAATTCTCCTGTGTAATCTATTTATATCGGTCTCATGCCACAAGATGGTCGTGTCGTCTGCAAATATAGTAAAACTACCATCGATCTTGAGTCTAGCCAAATCGTTAAAATACAATAAGAACAGGATAGGTCCCAGTACAGAGCCCTGTGGTACACCATGTTTGACTGATCTAGTTTCTGAGTTAGTATTTGTTTTAACGAATTGGGTACGTTCACTCAGATAAGACTCGACCCAACTAAGGCTCTGATTCCTGAAACCATAACGTTGGAGCTTGCGCAAGAGTATCCCATGATTTACACAATCGAAAGCTTTCGACAGGTCACAAAATACTGCTGCGCAAACCTCTTTGAGATTGACTCTACTATATAATTCTTTTAAAAATGAGAAAACAGCGTCTCCTGTGCTTTTTTGTGGTTGAAACCCAAATTGTTGAGGATTCAGAACATTTCGAGCTGATAAAAACTTCATCAATCTAGTTTTAACCAATCTCTCAATAATTTTTCCCAAGGTCGGGATGAGAGAAATAGGGCGAAAATTTGTAGGATCCGAAGTATCTCCACCTTTGTGAAGAGGAATAACTACGCTAATTTTGAGGAAATTTGGAAAAAGTCCTTTCGTGAAAGACTCATTGATCAACTGGACCAGAAGTTCTAGTGTGAATAACGGCATATTCTCGAGTATTCTTATTGAAATATTATCATTTCCACAGGACGTTTTATTTTTCAAATGTTTTATTGTATCCATTAACTCAGCCAAATCAGTATCATCCAGAACAAATGTGTCAGTAACGAAAATATCTGTCATATAGAGTAGCGGGTCTGATGCCACTTCTATTTTTTCAGCCAAATTTCCAGCTATGGAACAATAGAATTCATTAAGAATGTTAGGGTCTAAAGTAATATCATTTGAAACAGGATTTCTCCCACGAAGATCATTCACAACACGCCAGGTTTCCTTAGGGATATTATTACTTTTGGAAATTCTGTTATGGTAATACATTCGTTTTGCTGTCTCAATAACATTTCTGTAAATTCTTCTGTAGGTGATGTAATAGTGATGAATAAAGTCATTGTTGTAGTATTTCCTGATGTGATGGAGACTTCTCAGATTGATACCAGAAATACGAATTGCTTTAGTCATCCAACCTTTTTTGTTTCTGTTTTTAATTTTAATTTTTTGAATAGGGAAAGACATTTCAAAGCAGTTGGATAGTATATTATGAAACAAAAGAAAGGGATCATCGGCAAACTGCACCTCATTCCACTTGGCAATCAGACAATTATTGTAAAATTTCTTATAATTGCTTCCACTGAATAATCTACCAAATTTACATTTATTGTTACTGCTCTTATACATGATCTCAAATTCACAGAAAATAGCCTCATGGTCAGAGATGTTTGCTGACATAACTGAGCAAATAACCTTTCGTTGAGATAAATTGGAGCATACGTAGTCAATTTTACTTTCAGAATTTGGCGAAATTCTGGTTGGTCGATTCGTGTGCATTAATAAGTTGAATGAAATAAGAAGACTTTGTAGTTGCTGGGTTAAAGGCGAGGTATTGTCATCGAAGTTAATGTTCAGATCTCCCGCTAATATAACGGTTGCCCTAGGAGGTAATTCAATTAAGAGTAACTCAAGTTTATCAAGGAATACAAAACCATCTGAACTAGGAGATCTGTACATGCATAACACATAAAGGTTGGCTGCACTAGAATAAGCTAATGAAAATTCAAATTGCTTTTCCTGTATAAGGTTGTCATATCTAATAACATTTGTTAGTGCTAAGTTAGATGCTGATTCGTGAATCATTATCAACGTGCCGCCACAGTTAAATTCACTCCTGCTAAAATTTGATAACATAGTGTAGTTTGGAAGATATATAGGTTCATCCTTTTTCAACCAGTGCTCAGTAAGTAGCACAATATGAGGAAACTTCATACTTTCAAGGATTATATACAAATCATCCACTTTGTTTCTGATTGACTGTACATTAAGAGTAAAGGTTGAGATTATGTGTTCATTTTGTGAAGAAATATTTGGTCTAAAAAATCATTGTTTTTCGAACTGTCATTGTTGGAGTGGTTCATGTCAAAAATTGTTATATTTGAAATTCTCGATTGATCGTCAACATTATTTGATGTTCCTATAGGAATTGTTTTTAAAGCAATATATATTTTCTTTGAATCTCGGTTGATACAATTTTTTATTTTATCGAGAAGTTCAAATTTACTACCTTTATATTTTTTATCAGTCATAAAGTTTATGGAGCAATTTCTATTATGCTGTTTGAATATATTCACTCGCTTGAAAATAATGTTATTTATATTACTGTCATGAACATCATTACGTTCTGATATGATTATAAGATTTGTGAACTTACTTATACCCAATGTGTTCTTTAGAAAAGTTTCCAGAGTTTGACTGTTACTAATATTCTTAGTATTGAACATAACAATGATTGTATCCTCTTGACCAAATTCTATAGTTTCCCTGAATATATTTTCTGTTACTACAGAGAGTTCGGCATTCCATACGATTTTATCATCAATGATATATTCAGAGCTACCTAAAATTTTTTTAATTACCCTAGGAAAGCCAGTGGCATACTCGTCCCCATAGATTAACATTTTTCTATGTGGGAAAGCAACTTTTGTCATCATTTGTCTTTGTGGGCTCGCAGGATCACAAGAAGTTTTCCATTGCGCACTGGTACCACAATCATGAGTGGAAGGGCGAATACTATCAGGTTCTATGATATCTATTCTAAAATCAGTTGAATAGGTATTGCCTGTAAAGTTGGATGGTTTCTCCTTCAGATGCTGTTTCTTCTTTTTCTGCAGTTTCAACCCACTTTTGTTATTTTCCATGATTTTCACTTCAGTCGGGGTTTCAATTCCATTGACACATTCAATTGACTTTGTAGATTCTTCCACAGTGGGTTCTGGTATGTTGCATTGTGTGCTTCCAACAGCAGTCATGAATTCTGGTTTATTCTTGAGGATGTCGAAGTTTCCTGTTTCATCTCCATTGCACTCTGTTTGGATATAGGTGCTTTTTACGTCTATTACGGATTGGGTGCTGATCTCTCTTGTGGTTTTGCAAAGTAGTGTTGTTTGAGTGCTTGTTGTGCAAGTAGACTTTGTTTGTAGTTGTTCAATGATTTTCTGAAGTTCTATCATTCGTGTTTCAGCTTCCACAATGGTTTGTTTTTGAGCTGCTATTAATTCACACATTTCTTCCTCAGATTTTAGGGCATCTTCCATGAACTTGTCCATGTCGTTTTTCAACTTTTTCATGTGTTTGTCTTTAACTTCTGTGTCTTCTTGTAGTTCTTCTATGGTTTTTTCCAAAATACTAATTTCATTCATGAAACTTTGTTCCATGTCCTTAGCTGAACTCATGCAGCAAATGATTTTATGATCTCCTTCGAATTTGACTCCATTTTTATTTCTGAGTATGCAAGCTCTATGAAAGATGTTGAGACACTGTGTACATATGTAGTAAGATGGTACAGGTTTTGTTTTGCAACACTTGAAGTTAACCATTGTCAACCCGCAGAAATTATACAAGCACTGCACTGGACGGATATATTTATTATACCCAGATAAAAAGCATTGAAGTTTTTATTTTCCAAACTGGTACCGTTTTTATTATTTGTTCATATTCGTGGGAGCTCTTTGCGTAGATATATTTTGTCCTATGCACTTTTAAGATTCAAATATCACGCTATAGGACAGGAATTTCACTTCATCTTTTCCACATTCAGAATACTGCACATTGACGAATGCTTTGTGCAAAAGTTGGCTCACTAATTTCACAAATAACCATTAGAAAATCACGAAATATGGAGAGCTGTTAATTTTCTGTATTCTCTCTATTCTCTCAATTCAACTTGATGCGCAATAACAGTCGAAATGCGGCTGATAAGAATTTATATAAGAATCTGGTCAACTCAGTATACGGCAAAACAATGGAAAATGTTGATAAGAGAAATGACATCAAACTCATCACACACTGGGATAATATCAAAAAGAAGTTGGGTGCGAATGCTCTGATTGCTCTCCCCAATTATAAGACATGTAAGATTTTCCACGAAAATTTCGTAGCAATCCATATGGGGAGAGTCAAAGTGCATTATGACAAACCACTATATCTAGGTTTCACTATATTAGACGTGTCGAAAGTTGTCATATACAACTTTTTATATGAGTGCATTAAGAAACATTTCGTCGGTAAATCATGGCTTCTATACAGTGACACAGACTCCTTAATCTTGAAAATTGAAACAGAAAATTTTTACAACTTCATGCGAGAGAATATACGATATTTCGACACGTCCAATTACCCTGCAGATAATAAAATGGGTATTCCAATAACAGAATCGGTTGTTGGAAATATGAAGGATGAATTCCCGGACGATCCTATTATTAGCTTTTACGGCACTGGAGCCAAGGCATATTATGTTCAATCCTAGCGAATTGAAGAAAGCAAAGGGTGTTTCAAGGTCGGTCGTCAGAAGTCAACTTTCGATGGATGATTATAAAAGTATCGTCGAAAAAGGGGGTTTGATTTTAAGGAAAATGAATTGTTTTCGCACTGACCACCATGACATATACACAGAAATGAAAAACAAAGTTGCTTTATCATACCATGATGATAAACGATACATCATACCAAACACCACGAAAACCTTACCGTGGGGCCATAACGATATCGAATTCTACAAATCAAGTCCTGAACATAATTTGCTTTGGTTACAGCAAGCTATTACTGAAGTAGAAACGAACGACTTCATAAATTTGTTAGAGATGGAACAATCGAAACTTTAACAGCGGACTCTATACCTGAAAATATTAGTCAGTAGTCAGTGGATATCATATTTTGCTGGATCATCTCTATATTCGCATTAGTTTTGAATGTTCAGAGGATGCCTATATTAAATTATTCACATATTTGTATATATACCCTTATTAATTTATTCACATTTTTGTATATATATATATATATTCTTGTTATGAAATCATCATCCAAGTAATTTTACGCTGATATTTACCGAATTAAATATATATTTATATGGTAATACTTGCTACTTTTTTTCTACCCTCCATGGAATACCTCGAATTAGCGCTATTCAAATACTCGATGGATAGGGGGGGGGGTTTGTCAACTATCAAATAATCAATTTTAATTAAGTTAGTGCACGTTGAACTGCTGTAGGTGGAAGATGTATAACGCTATTGATAAATTTGGTCGCAAGAAGAGCAAATCAATGTGTTCGCTGCCCAGGCGACCTGGAATCGGGTTCAAACTCGACGAAAGTGGAAATTATGACATATTGGGTAAGCGACTAACGAATGTTGGTAATCCATTGAGTGGTGGGGATTGCGTCCCATTGGAGTTTCTCAATCAGCAAATGTTTGAGATGATGACAGCTCTCGAAAAATTGAAAATAGTTACCAGAGATTACAGACAGTTTTCTCAAAAGGTGCTTATGATGTCACCAAAAGTGAATCAGTCAGTAGATGATATAAGTTCCATGTCGAAACAGATGGAGGAATTGAGTTTGAAGTTTGAGAAGAAATCCACTGAATTCAGCGAACGATTGCTCAAATTAGAAGTGGAATTGGCGTTGAAGAATGGGAAAGTCTTCACCAACTGAATGAGGCGACCTGGGATGGAGGAAAAACCCCGAAATGGGCTTGGGGGAGGAATAAAATATATATTCCCATACTCTGTAAATGATTTAATGATATCAAATTGTAATAAAAAATATTAAATCCATATATTATTTGTTTTCTCTTCCTTTGTTGCCTTTCTCTACATCAGCTCATGTTGGTAGTGAACGGGATTGGGTGAGACTTGTTCGTAGTGAAATCCTTGAGAGGATAGAATATGAGTGGGGTCAAGGTTGAGACTTGACAGTGGAGATAAGTGGGGTTGACGGCGGGATTTGGAAGTGGTGTTGAGTGGGCGGAGCCTGCGAAGGGATGTGAAATGAGTGGGGTTGGGGGCGATGGTTTGATAGTGGTGGAACCGCTAGGTGGGTGGAGCCTGTGAGTTAGTGGGGAGGGAGTGGGGTGGAAAGTGGGTAGGGTGTGAGTGTTTAAAACAAGAGGTGCACACACTGACTCCTCATTCTGTTCGCAGACTTTGTCTTCTACCAGAACACCTTCAGACACCATTCGTCAGTTTTAATTCCACTACAGCGTCTTCGAACATCAGTTGAGTAAGTAATATACTATGATCGAATGTTAGCTATTTTATTCCACATGTTATGTGAATCTACAGTTTATATATATATATATATAAAAATGTTATTGTTTCAGATATGTCCAACGTTGAAACCGATCTGAACACCGCGTTCGTTGGAGAGGCCGCGACGGTTGGAGAAGGCTCCACGCCACCACTTCCTCTCTTAGGTCAGTATATTTTTCCAATCATCGCAATGAAACAAAGTATTTCACCCCCATTGTCTTGCTTTTTCCAGACCTCGATGATGACGACATCATTGCCATCGACACCCCCGTCGATGTCGGAGAAAGGGGTATCAATGATATCCCCTTCGACCCGGAGTTGCAGACGCCAAGTCAGAGGGAGTGGCTCAGTCAGGCAGTTAGAGATCACCTGGAGGAAGCAGGAACCTGGGAGAACCATGCGCCTTCAGGTGTTGATGGTGGGATGGTGCCGGCCCAGGACTCATCATCATCCGGTGTTGAGGGTCTTGGTAGCGACAGTGGATTCGTGAGACCTGCGGCTAGGTATTCCAAAGGCTCCAAGAAAACTCTTAAGCAACCGAAGCCGTCAACACCGGAGAGAGTTTCCATCAGGAAGAGGGGTCGGGATGACGATAGCGACGATAGCGGTGATGATTTCCAAACCCAGCAACCCGGTAAGAGGGAACCAACAGCACCACCATCGACGCAGTCGTCGTCGAGTACCTCCTCCTCCTCCTCCTCTTCGACATTGTCACCTCAGATTTTCAAGGGGAAGAAGATGAAGAAGAAGGTGGAAGTTGGACCGTCAACAACCATCCTTGGAAAGTTGCTAGGTAGCCGCAGTAAACCGAACCCATACCGAGGTGGCAAGGTTTCGCCGTGGTACACGGCTCACAAGAAAGCCGTTCCCTCAACAAGCGGGACGCAGCAGCAGCAACAGCGACGTCCAACCATCAATCTGATTAGTGTGGAGGTGGTGCGTCCAGCCGATCTACCCGAGAGTGTGGATGAACCACTTCCTTCACAGGAATCAGATGTCGTGGGAGACAACATTGTTGCTGCCGCTGCAGATGTGGCCGATCAAGATGTTGATATCCACATACGCATTCCATCGCCGCCAAAAGAGCTCATCGACCACGTCAGGAAATATGATGCCGATTTGAAGCGATGGAATGCGAATGTAGATAGTCGGATTGCTGTGAGTAAGAGTAGGTTGCGATCTTTCTCACAGCAAAGAGAAGCTCTACTTTCGCGGCTTGCTGAAATAGATCGACAGATAGAGTCTGAAGAAAAGTTTCAGCAGGATTGTGAAAGGGGTAGAACTCGTTTCGAGCATTTAGATCGGCTCAATACGGGGTATTTGGCAGATACATAAGTCAATTGTGTGTGTGTGTGTGTGTGTGTGTGTATATATGTTTTATATTATGTTTTATATTATATTATTTTTTTGTACCTGAATGAATGTGTTCTGTATCATATTATCCATGTAAATATATTTTTTTTTATAGAATGTTAACTGTTATTATTGTAAATATAAGAGATTACCCTGAATATATTCACTATTCTGGACTATGGTGTTTTCACTATTTTTACCCCCACCACTTTTTCCACCACCATTTCACCCTACTACTCATTTCAACACCACGCCCACAACTCTCCTCCTCCTTCTGCCACAGATAAATTCAACCGCTTCTCTGGAATCATTCAGTTGAAGTTCAGTATCAAAAAATGAATACTACAACCATCTGTGCAGCAGACTCCACCACTACCAGCCAAGGCAATGCCTTGTCATTCAGCCACCGATTGGAGCCAGCATCGGAGGGACCTTGCGACTCTTCCTCGGATGTTGTTGAAGTGGAGGATGTCTCCTTTGAGTTCGATTGGGAGGATGATGTCATCGTAGTCGAAGACAGCGATGAGGCCTCCGACTTCGATGACGATGACCGAGGAGACGACTCCGATTCCGATGCCACACTCATCCTAGGTGGCATTGGAAGAGAAGAAGAGAGCGACACCGAGGAGGAGGAGGACCGTCCATTGGCGAGGGGCGCTTACCTGGACCCCATTATGATGGAGGCGATGGAAATGGACGCGCTGGACGAGCGCGATTTGTTTGACTTGGTGGAGGATTATCTCAGATAATCTTTTTGTATATAGTATTTTTTTGTATATAGTCATGTAGTTTTTCGTATATAGTTATGTAGTATTTCTGTATATATATATATATATATATATATATTCAATTAATATTAGTAGCTGTATAAATCAATAGATTAGGTATAGGTTTTGTGGGGATGCAGCTGATGTGGGACTCAAAAGAAAACTCTTTT